CTCTCCACCTCTGGGTCAGGTGACCGTCGGAAGTCGCAGCTGATGTCTCCCTTGTTGGGAACGGGTCTCTTCATAATGGTTTCCAGTGGCTAAATGAGCAAAACAGTGAGCTGCAAATGTATCTGGTATCTATCACTTTCTAGCTATTCCTATAATTCTCAGAGTAGTAGGCTTAATATTTTTTTGTTCACAAATAATGTTATTACAAACTACAAGTTGAGTAGAGATTTAGGTTTTAAAATTTTTTTAAAGAATATTACTGAAAAGTAAGTTAAATATAGTGATGATAATTACTCTGTCAATTTCATGTTAGAAGTTCCAGTTCTAGGAATTTTTACCATTAAAAGTCAAATTATCATAGTGCCATCTGATTAAAACACAGTGTGAATCAGAGTGAACCTAAGCGCCTGCTTCCTGCATGGCGTCACTCTCAGTGGAAGACGTAACTTCCGCAGTGGTTTCTCGCTGTGAGCTCGCTGCTGCTGCAGGCCGGCTTCCCTCTCCTCAGCTGAGGTCACCCTCTGTGCTCTTTTTCACCAGGAGCTACTGTTTCCTACACTCTTCAAAGGGTGTTTGTAGTCAGCGTAAAATAGTGCAGTGCTGTCTATTTATGATACAGTATTTCGTGAAGTAATTAATCCACTCTTACAACTCAGCTGATTATTAGACCTCAGCCCTTGGTGATTTGAAGAGAATGCCCGTGGAAGACCCTGGAAGGTGCTTCTTTGGTTTCCACTCAACCCTGAGCCCAGTTGCAAGCTGTTAACTCCTGAAAACCAACTGCCCGGCTGCAGATAGAAGTCCATCTGCCTTATAATAGCTGAAACAGGCTGCCATTTTCTGAAATATTAATAATTTGACCAAAAGCTGAAAGGAGACCACAACACAGAGAGAAGTCAGTTTTTTTCCCCAAAGCGTAGATCTCTGAACCAAAGAGGCAGCTGCCCTTTCCAAGCCTCTCACCTGCCCTGTCCCCACCCAGGTCCTGGTCATTCACGGGCCACCTTGCCTGCCCCGCTTGCTTCGGCATGTTAGCCAAGTGACCCTGACTTTCACTTTATTTTTCTGATTCAGACTCTGTCTTATCATCAACGCCCACCTCACAGACGAGTCCGTGTGGGTGCTTTTTCTTTTCCTTCTTCCAGCCGTTGCACACCCTGACTTCCTGGGCAGCTTGTGACCTAGTAACGCTGACCACACACTCATCCTCACCTCATGAGCCTCTCCTGTGGGTCAGCCTCTCCTGGGCACCTCATCACAGACTACGAAAAAGGTGCCATCTGCGTCCCGGTGTCCAAAGGAGACCTCTGGGCACACAGCAGGTGGGTGGCCCTGGCCTTAAGCCAGCCGCCCCCTGGGCCGCGTCACCCGGGAGGAGACTCTTCAGTGTCATCCTGTGGTGGCCGTCATCTCCCATTAGTTGGTGTCACTATTCTAACAGGATTTTCAATAACCACGAGGTAGTGGAGGAACAGGCTTAAGAGGACTGTATTTGTCAGCTCAAGATTTCCTTTCTGACCAGAACAGTTTGTGACGATTTTTAACATATGAACTTTGGGGACAAATAAATTATGATTATTTTCATTTTGCTTAACTCCCCTGCAGACTTCCGCACTGGCTGGCTCCTTAAGGGCTCAGGTGTGCGCTCATTTGCAGGTGGGGCCGTGCCAGCTGCCGCGTGGGCAGGTCTCTGGGATTAGCAGCAGCGGCTTCACCACCACAGCGGAGCTACATCCTGCTGCTCTTATCCTCGTAGGCTAAGTTAGGCAGGTTTTCTTACGGAATTGGAAGCGTATCTGAGTGGTTGTGAGTCAGATTAGTAATGAGAACCAAGGAGGCCAGACGTGCTGTGCTCCACGGTTGGCTCAGCTCTGCCGAGGGACTGAGGCCGAGGGGCTCGTTTCTGCCGTTTACACGCAGAGCTGGATGGCAGGGCTGACGCCTGTGTGCCCGTCGTCAGTGTCCCATTTGCCATCAAGATGGCGGCTGCCAGTAATGGCCCGTGTTCCACCTTTACAGACGGCGACACTCACACAGCCTGTGCCAGCCTCACTGCAGTGGTCACCTTGTCAGAGCTGGTCTTTTCTGGTTCTCCAAATTCTACCCTTGAACAGATAGCATTTTCATTTCTATTGTAGAAAAGCCTCTTCTGTCCAAATCTAACACCGTTTCCATCATCGCTCGGGCCACTTATTTGTCTTCATGGTTCTTTCTCACCAGGACCTCGGAGCCCTTTCCTGAGTTTGTGCAGGTCCCTGTGCTGGTTTTTCCCAGGAATTCCTTCCAACTCCACCTGGGGGAGGGGGACAGCAGGGAGCGGGCGGTATCGGACTGTCCAGCCTCGGGTTACTCAGACGGCCTCTGCACCCCGGGGAGCCTTGGACTTCCTAGTTTTCATCAGCCGAATTTCACTGTCTTGCCATACTTACATTGTGCATTTAACATTTGTACATTCTTGTAATCAACTGAGAGAAAAATCTTGTAAATAAAAATATCCCTTGTAAAAAAATAGAGACATTGGCTGAATGACCAGCTGAACATCTCTGGCACAGCCGTGTCAGAAATTAGCCCAGTTGGCGTCCAGGCCGAGTGGCGCAGTGGACAGCTCAGCCCAGCTGGGCCCAGCCTGCGTCCAGTGTGTGGCCGTACAGGTGTCCCCATGCCAGCCTTTCAGGCAGGACTACAAGGTCAGCCGAGATGGGATGACCCATCATTTGGTTTTGAAGTTGCAGTTTTATGGGACAACAGGAGGTTATAGCATTTTAAAAACAGGTGAGAGTCCAGAGCTTGGTGTCAGGTGCCCTGTGTCTCTGGTAGATGCGACGTGCTGGCGTCTGTGCTTCAGACCCGTTTTCCTCCCTGAGATGCAGATGTCACAGCGCTGTGGACCTTGCCTCTGTGCCCCTGCCTTCTCTAGCGGGGGCCGCTCCTGAAATCGGTCTGGGTCCTTTCTGGTCATGCTTCTATGGCCTTGAGGCATGTGGTCGGACCCGTAAACGTTATAAAGTACTTGTGTGCATTTGTAAGGTCGTAAATGGTATTATATTATGTATATATTTGCAACTCACTTTCCCACTGGCCAAATTTTAACAACCCCATGGCTGGGCAGTTTGACGCGCTAATTTCCGTGGTTTGTGTAAGCGTACCACACGATCATGTCCCGTGCTTCCTGTCGGGCACGTGGGGTGCTGTCCTGGGAGTGGGGCTGTGGGCCGCACTTGGCGCTGCATTTCTCCTGCACATCGCCAGACCCCCTCTGCGGTGGCTGTGCTGCTCCACGCTGCTGCTCACAACTGACAGGAAGCGCCCCGCACATCCTCACCAGCATCTGCTGCTCTCGGGCTCAATGGCTGCCAGTGTAGTGGGTGTGAAGAAATGGCGTCTTGTGTTTGGTTTCGTTGTACATTTCTCTAATTTTCTAAGTTCATGTGTAGGATATCTTTGTAGTCACCCACGAAGGCTGCAGTGAATGATAGAGGCATGAAGGAATCAGAATGGGGGAGCGATCTGCAGCTCTCCAGGGGACCCCGGCAGGTTGTCCACTAAAGAAGGTCTGTCCCCCACAGGAGACAGCTGTGTAGTGAGCGGTGTTGGGGGACAGCCAGGTATAGTCAGGCCAGGACGTGACGGGTGTTCTGTGGATGGGTTTCAGACCCGGGGGTTTGCTGCAGGGGATGTGGGTTTTGTCATGAAGCGTTTTGCAGAAAGACTGAGCAAAATGTCGGGTCGAAGAAGAAAGACAGATGCGTAAGGTGATGAGAGTGGGGGGAGGACACAGGGTGACCGAAAGCGCGGTCCCAGCTGCGGCCTGGGTTGGTGGGTAGGCTCTGGGGACTGCTGTGCGTGGCTGGGCCTGAGGGGGCAGGCACCCTGCATAACGGGACTGCTTACAAAGGGCCAACGACGAACAGGACCTTCTAAAGCATCCGTGCACACCGCCAGTGTCCGTTAGCACGCCCTGAGACCTGTACGCAGTCACCCGTCAGTGAGCTCGGGCCGTGGGCCTTGTTTTTCTGTGTTTCGAAGATCATGTTGTTTTTCTCATAAAAAAACTTATTTGTGATCCATTGTTTATCATTTTCTCTTTGGATTTGCTTAAGGTGGAGAGAAAAAGACATTTACAAGTCTGATTTCTTCCAGTCTTATCTGTCTCACCCATTTTTAAAAAGCAATTTATTTCTATCCAGTCTTTCAGAAACATTCCATTTCATTTAAATGGAAAACTGATGTCTTGATTTTAGTTAATCATCACATGTCACCAAATTGTACAGCGTGTCACTGTGGCCATGTGACATGTCCATGTCAGGCAGACGAAGGTCGGCGTGTCCCCAGAGCAGCTCAGCAGCACAGGGCACCCCGCGGGCCAGGCAGCAGATGAGAGCAGCTCAGGCGGAAGGCTCCCCTGTTACAGTGTGGTCCAGGCCCCGCGGAGCCCGTCATGCTGACCACCAGGCCGGCTCTGCGCTGGGGCCTGGCCCGGCCGCTCTGGGCCGATCTCCCCCCACGCCCCCACCGGCCTGGCTGCAGAGGTCTCGTGACCCCCCGCCAGGCCTCCCCCGGGGCCTGGCCGTGCCCTTCACCACCGTCCTCATCGTGGGGAAGCATCCAGTCGGTCCTTGTAAGACAAGTGGATGGCTGTTCGGCGGTTGCAGGTACCCCCTTGCAGCAGGACGCCGCGTGACTCCCTGCCAGCCCCACAGCACTGTGCCCGCGGCACGTTCAGAGCCAGCCGCCCTTCGCGGTCCCCTCTGACGTCATACCACGCTGAAGGGCGGAGCACGGTAACCCACGTTACCGTCTTCTGCAGACATGTTCTGGGTGTGAAAAGCTTTGCTGACTTAAAAGGCCGTAAATTCACTCGTTTTAAAGTTTAAAAGCCAGTATCATCTTTTTATTTCCTGTAAAGTTAAAGGTAATGCATGTAAGTAAATAATTTATGAACGTGGGAGTATCGCCTGGTCTGGACCACACTAACGACTGTGCGGGGCTTCACTTGGCAGCCTGCGTGTGAACTTGGACATGGGCAAAGCGGCGTACGGGTGGATGATCATGGCAGACAGCAGCATTCCCGGCACTGTCGTCCGGACCAGCACCATCCCGGAGGAGCTGGGGCGCCTGGTGTACCTGCTCACGGACAAGACAGGTACCGCTCCTGCGTGCGCGTCCAAGTGGGCGGGGTGCAGTGCAGGGAGGCAGTGGGGAGTGCAGTGCAGGGGAGCAGTGGGGAGTGCAGTGCAGGGAGGCAGTGGGGAGTGCAGTGCAGGGAGGCAGTGGGGAGTGCAGTGCAGGGAGGAAATTGGGGGCAGTGGTGGGGTACAGTGGGGATGCAGTGCAGGGAGGCACTTGTGGGCAGTGCAGTGCAGGGAGGCACTTGTGGGCAGTGCAGTGGGCGGGGGTACAGTGGGGAGTGCAGTGCAGGG